AGGGCTCAGGTCCAATCTCTGTGTGTGCCTTTTATTTATTAATATATTATTAATTAATTAATTTATAGCTTTATTGTACCACAGGCAATATGTGAGCTGTTATTTGGGAACATCTGTTTTAGAACTGTGACTGAATTCACCTCAGGAAAGTATTTTGTGTGGACCTAGACCTGGGAAAACTTGGATTTCCCCTTTGACTTGGCTTCTAGGATTGTTACTGGGCAGAAATGGCTTCACCTGCCTTTGTTTAATTTGCTTTTTCTGGAACAGCACACTTTGTGAGAGGGCAGTCACATTGCTAAATAACTCCTGAGCTGTGTTATTTATTCTGGCATGAGCCTTGCTGAGGAGATCCCCCCATCCCTCACCTTACTCCTAACATTCACCACTCTGCTTTTTTCCCCAGGAACTGTGGGAGGGTTTGTCTCAGTTCACAATTTATTGGAGGATTCACATCACCTGCTGAGACTAATCTAGACCCCTGCAACAGGAGCTGGATATTGTAGTTACCTTCTGAACCTGTTGTTCTTCATGCTTAAATATTGACTTATTGTGTTCTATGGTCTTATGGTTTTCTTTGATTTTTTTTTTCCTATTTGGAGGAAAATCCCTGTCCATTAGCCATAATTTTTAGTGTATATTCATGGTGGAAGTGATATTAGGGAATATAAAAAGTGAGCAAAAACTGAGCAGAAAAGCTGGAATGGAATGATGAGTGTTTGGTGTTTCCCTTTTAAACATGCCGATCTAATATTCTTAAATTTGTTTTTTTTTCTTACAAATCCGTGACATCAATTCCATCTCTGATTTTAAGACAAGAAATAGCTCAAGTGCGTTCAATTAGAGTGAAATTGGAGTTTGACTTTTGTTTTTAGAAAGGAATATATTCTTGAGTAAAACTATATATTGAAGTATAAATCAAATACACTTATAAGATTTTTTTGATCCCAAACTCACAGGAAAGCATTTTCTCACACTATAACTCATTAACTGGAAAGTCAGGACAATTTATTTGCTAGAACTTTCAATACACACAGGTAGCAAGAGATTTCTTTTCAAAATTGACTTTCAGACTCAAGTTGCTGCCTTACAGTAAAGAAATATTTCTTCTTTTTTATCTTGCTCTTCTTCTAGTGAGTCACATAAATAGGAGTCAGTAACACTGGAGGAGGAAGTCAAGTTCCTGAGAAATCCAGCACCAGAAAATACATTTTTGGTTTATGCCCCACACTCCTTGATCAGTATGGTGAAAAGACTTTTATTTGCTGAGTTTTAGAATTCAGCGTCTCTGTATTTCCTCTCAGCCACTGTCTCCCATTTATTACTCTGAAATTGCAGTATTATTTATTATCTCCCCATGTGCAGTGAAGTGACATCTTGCACTTGCTTACGTCACACACTTTTACAGTTTAATATGGGAGTCTCACTGTTATTTTCTGAGAGTAATAAAAGAAGGATAAGTTTTCATTCCTTGAAAAAGTATAGCTTGATTTCCTTCAGAAGCAAAACTGATCCTGTGGCAGTGAAATGTCACACGCACACACTCTTTCTTATTTTGATTTTTACAAAACCCTGCAGAGTGGAGGCCTTGAGAGAGGCTTATGATCAGGTCATTTCTGCAGTAGTTGTGACAGGTCTGGAATTCCTAAAACCTGCTTGTGGAAGCTGAGGGAAATCTGTTCCAAGTGGAGGATGTAAACTCTTTTCTGCTAATTTTTTTTTTTCCTCATCCTGTTATATTTTTCCCACAGGGGTTGTGAATTTTCTGAGTTAAGGCTGTGGATTTTTTAATCAGCATTCATAAAGCAGTGACACATGCACATTGGAGTGCTGTCCCTGCACATGAAAGAATTTCCTTGTGTTTCTGGGAGTCTGGGGGGTTCTGTGTGTGAGAGATGCTCCTCCTATTCAGATGGAAGTTTTGTCAGCATTTTTTTCCTAGAAGTGTAAGCATAAAGGGAAGATAGAGTGATTTTTCTCCCAGCTGAACTTGAGCTTTAGAAGGGTGTTAGGTCAAAGAAGACAATCTTGCTAAACAACTTGTTGGAAAAGCTGCAGCATCAGAGGTTAGAATATGGATTTTTGTTAACAATGGTACCACGAGTTTAAAGATATTGTACACGCTGAATTTGTGTGTGCACATGTGCATAGGAGGGAATGAGATAATAACTATACACAATTCAATGGATGTTGATTTACAGATGTTTTTACTCCTTTTCAGCAAAGCACAAGGGTTTCTATCTATTTTATATTTTATTACCCCATTTGCCACGAACAGAATCCACACATATCCATTACCCCCAGTCCCACTGAAATCACAGCCAGCTGGGGATGCTGCACAGCCCCTGCTTTAGAATTTCCAGAGCTCTGGGGGTTGTTTGTATTTCCTGGTGCACAAGTGGCTGCCAGGTTTAATCCCCTCCTGCCTGGCAGTGCTGATGTGCTCAGGAGAGGAGGGCACAGCTGGTTCACCCCTCACCAACACCTGGTTGTTGTTTGGAGCTCACCCCGAGCTCCAAACGTGCCCCTGGGAGCTCAGACACTGCCTTTGGCTGTCCAGGCAAAATGAGGTTGTGATTTAGGAGCTGTTGTGAGCAGCTCTACAGAATTGTTAGAGCTCCCCTCCAAAGGCTGCATTGGAGGCTTGTGCTCGTTTATTTCTCTTTCTCGCACATCCTCTGTTCTGTGCCTGCTCTCAGCTAGGAAATAGAGCAAATATGTAACTGTCACCTTGTATAATGCAAATATCAAAATGTGCTTGTTGGGTGTATTGTTGCCTGATATAAATCCTTTTTTTTTTTCTTTTTTTTCCCCCTTCGTTATATATCTATAGTGAGACTCCAAAGGCAGAAACATCCTGAAAGGCAAGTCAGGTGTCTGGAGCTTTATCATGGGAATTCAGAGCAAAGCTCAAACATGTTTAATACCTTAATCTGAATATCCTCAGGGTGTTGAGAATGTAGCTTTTTGTTCAGTAAGATGTCTGTGAATATTTCTGAACCACTATAACGGAGCAGATTAGGAGGGGAGGTTGCTTCCCTGGCTGTTACCTGCAGCTGTTGACCTCCCTTGTTTTGGCCAAAGTGTCTCCAAATGAAAGAACTTTGCTTGCAGTTTGCAGTTCTAAAGTTTAGCTCCTAAAGTTGCATTCTCGTGGTTAGTTTCTAAAGTTTAAAATTCTAAAGTTTAAGTAATACACCTGAAACCAATGGAAACGGTGCATGACACTGCCAGAAAACCATAAATTGAACAAAAGTCTGAAGAATCTTGGCCTACAAATTAAAAGGCTGCATTGCTTTGACAAAGAGAGTGTTTCAAATCTATAAGCAACTCTGCTGAGGTCTGCATTATAAACAATTCCTACCTTTGTAATGTTATTTTTCTCCTTTGAAGTTCTGCCACTCAGTTTGTAAGGTAACTGCTGGTACTAATGACACTTATTTCCAGTAACTTTGGGTTGTAAGCTCTGGGATGTCATGAGAGGAGTGGCTGTGGAGTCTTTAAGCAGGACAGCTGTCCAACAAATGGTAATTTTCTAGAACGTATGGACAGCAAATTGCACACTGGGTGAGTAATAGCAGACAAGGGAGTTTTATTAGAGCTACACCACTTAGGGTGGTTTGGATGTGAGTGCATTCATATGCACCCATTATAGACACACAGATCCATTATTGCCTACCATGTGGAATATTTTGTGTTTAAGACATTAACTTGGCTTTGGCACTTCACAATTTCACAGCCAAAGTATCTCTTTTAAAAGAAAAATGCAAGTTTAATTTTCAGCTTTTAGAGAAAACGTTGTCCACTGTGTAGCTGTGATGTGATTTCTGCACTGAGAATTAAAGTTTTGCTGCTGTACTCTCTTCTCTGCTGATAGACAGCACAGTCACAAAGCAGTTCCATGTGTCCTGGCAAAAACAGGCAAGGAAAAAGTGCCTGGGACCTGTCTTGTAGGAGACCTGCAAAGATTTTCTGCATTGTTCCATGTGAAATAGCCAGCATTTAGCAAATGTGCATTATTTTCTGGACTTTCTGAAAAGGTTTTAGGGTCCTTTGGACTCAAAGCTACGTTTCAGCTAAAGGTTTTTCTTTAAGTAATTACTTAATGAGTTACTGATTTACTTTCTGATGAGAAACCAGCCTTTTAATATTTTTCTTCTTCCTTTTTTTCTTTTAAGATGATAGTTAAGATGTAATAAATGTATACTTCCAGCTTGTTGCAGTAGTCAGTGAAATGAATTACTGTAGAATATGAGTAAAAGTTTGAGCTGTGCATAGCCCTTGACTTCTGTTTGAGATTCAGTTGAACCAAGGACATCGTGTGAAGTGTTTGTCATTTACAGTGCCTGAAGTATTGATAATGAGTGTAGGGTGAAGCTGTAGCCACAAAACAATGAGCTGCCTTTGCTCCTGTGGCTTTCTCTGGAGATTCAGAATCCTCTTTTGAAGGAAGACTGAGGACAGCCTTGATCTGCCCTTTGTCAGCTAACAATGGATGCTTGTTACACAATTACATAATTTGTGTTTTAAGGAATAATCACTGGTAGCCTCTCAGTTTCAGTACTTTGTATTACAAGCAGTTGGGTTTGTAGCATTATTTAGCACAATATTCTTTCCTTTCCTCACTTCTCTGAGAAATTCCTGCTCTCTGCCAACTCCCTGCTCTGCATGTGTAAGTCCATAGGATGTTTTGAACACAGTGGGCTGTGTCTCTGTTATCAGCATTAACCAGAAGCTGATCTGTTCTCCCATTCTTCCCAACAATGTCCAGGGACTCAGTACCCCACAGATTTAACAAAATCCTGTGGTGAAATGCTCTGGTACTGCAGTATCTGTATGGAGGATTCTGGTGCACTTTGTCACATCCAGTCCTGTCTGTGGTACTTGAGCTGTTCTGGCTCACCACACTATGTGTCCGTGTGTCATTGATTATGTATTTATGAAACCACCTCAATGTTGCAATTTTTAAAATACTCTCTAATTTTTTATTCACATGGCAGCCCAAAACAGCTCCGAAAAGGACATTTGGATCCATTACAAATGACCAGGTAAATATACACAGTAGGGAGTGTTCAACAAGAAAGTTTCATTATTTGAGAGGCTGTGTGAGTAAATCCATGGAAAAAAGACTGTTGTGAAAATTGGATAAAGTAACAGAGCTCCTTATGGCCCCTGAGGGATCCCATGAGGGATCTTGGGAACCTCTTTAACCTAATCCAGGCTCTGAGATGGGCATAACTCTGGTTTGCCTCCAATAGTTAGTGCTTAAATTGTATTTTTAAATTTAAGAAGTCAATCTCTGGTATTTCTCACTGTTATTCTTCTGTAAGGGTAGAGATATCAATGGAGCAGATTATTTCTACCAGTCCTTTTAATGGGCAAAGATATTCCATAGCTGTTAATTATCTATTGTTCTTTTCCAATGGACCCTTGCCCTTCCCAGTGTGAACAAATCCTTCAGATTACTGGGATAATGTGGTGACTGAGCTGCAGTTCTGTCCAAACAGAAATCTGACCCTAACGGAAATTTTAACTTCACTGAACTTTTAATGATGATAGAGCCATTTACTTCAGCATCAAAAATTAATCCTGAAGGTTTTGTTCATGTTTGTCATTTTAGCTCTCAATTTCTCTGTTAATAACGGAGACAATTAGATATTTATAATCTTAAAAATATATTTCTTGAATGTTTCATCATATTTTTTTTGAGTATTTAGAAAGTGAGAACTATCTGTTCTTAGAAAATGTGTTTGCTAATTTGCAGCATGTCACATCTAACCTTATCTCTTAAATAACATGAAAGAATCTTGGTAGAGTTTAGAGAGACTCTACTTCTCTGTAGTGGTTTTTCTGTGGTTTAAAAAGATGTCTAAACCTGTAATGAATAGGAAGAAATAGACATGGATAATATTTCTTCCCATAGAAAATTATTCAAGTGTTAATAATGAACTTGGAAGAGATCTTTGCGTTCTTTTCTGTTCTCTAGTCATTCAGTGGTAGTGCTGGGGAGCTAAAGCACCATATTTAATATCAAACTCACCTGCTGTGATGAAAACCCCTCTGCCATACTGGATCAGAAAAGCAGAGATGGGCACACACACATGTACAGCCACGGGAATGCAAAGTCTGTACAAAGTTCTTGTTGTAGTTTTGGGATCCAATGACAGAATAATCAGTGCCCATCTGTCAGCTTGTGTACAAATAAAGAAGTAAAGAGAGCTGACAGGTTGCTTTTACTCTGGCTTCTGTTATTTTCTTTCCTCTGGAACCTATGTTAAAGCATAGGATATATAATTTATAATTTCTTAGTAATTATGAAATTTATTGCAAATAACTGCTAGCCAGATTGAATATGAAGAGGAAACTCATGCTCTGCTTCCTATCAGCATAGAATTACCATTCTAAAATTTACCCTAATTGGTTCAAAATGTATAATCTTGATTTAGAAACCATTTGCAGGGCTTATATTTTCATGCCTTCTGCTATAGAAGCCAAATCTGTATTTGTTTTATTACTTCAAAGTGTGTTCCAGCTTACTTTATACTGTCCCCAATTGCAACTTAATGTTGCCACAAATGCTGTGCAAGTGGCACAGTAATTTTAGATGTGTGGATGAATAGTTCTGTCCCATGAAATAAAAGATGGCTTATGTAGGGTCAAAATCTGGCTTTGAGAAAACAAATCAATGAAAGCCCAGCCTCACTCAGAAGTGGACACAAGCTATAAATGCACTCATTGGTGGTGGGTAGCAAGATACAGAGAATACAAATCTTTTGCAACTAATGAGAAATGAGGAACCTTGAACACTGGGCAGGTTTTATTTTGCTTTGTTCTGGGGTGTCTGGGCTGGAATGAGGGGATCTTTAAGGTCCCTTCCAAACCATCCATGATTTTATGGCAGTTACCTGAGTGAGGGTGAAAGATGAGAAGAATCAGCAGAGAAAGAGCAGTTGTTCATTATTACAAATACAACACATAAAAAGAAACTTTTATTTAGTCCACAATTTTATTTATGCCTTCTCTTTTTCTGGTCATTCCATGCATTCAGCATTAGCCATCTGCATTCTAGCCCTTCCCTTTTGGAAGATGTGGCTGGAAAACTGCCTTTTCATCATTCCTCTAAGTGGTGAGATATGAGAAAAGAGGATAATTACACTATTCTTAATTCCTGTTTGTCTGAAGAGACAGCAGAAGAGAGAGGGGAATTTACTTCTAGATTCCAATATTTGTTGTAGCAGATTTGTCAGCACTACTGTTTTTAAAAAAAGCTATGTTTGTGCAATGTATGCAGCATTTTGGTGCAGTTCCAGAAATGTTCAACAAACCTCAAAAAAATATTGATCATTTTCAAATTGATCTCGCAGTTCTGTGATATTTTTTAAAATGAAAATAGGTCTTCTCTTTTCACTGGGATTGTAACTTTCACTGGAAATATAAAATATATAGTGATGAATAGAAGAATAGTTTTAATGAGTTGTGAAATATATTTCTGATGAACTGTTAGGGCTTAGTTTTGTCTGTATGATCTGACATCTGAATTATGAAATAAGCATTTTATCAATGATGGTATTGGGGTTTTCTGTTTGTTTCTTTTTTTATGCTGATGGTTTCAGATCATGTCCAGAGTTGCTCCACAAACAGAGAAATGATCCCTTTATCTTTGTTGATTTCCTTGAAATGGAATATTGGAATAGGTCCTCCAGTGACTGAACTTGGGCTTCATTCCTCATTTCCACACTCACCCACACAACAGAGAAACTGAATTACATCTGTCCAAGAATTTAATAACTTTTCTTTAGAAATAGAGGATCTGGATGGAAAAATCACCATCACTCCCACATTTCCCCTTTTTCTAGAGTATCTGTTTATTGCCATGTTTGCTCTGAAGCTTTGTCCAGGCTCTGGAGCTTAAAGCAAAATTAGATGTGGAAAATAAATATAAAAATGTATATTCCTGTATAGAGTATATGTATAAATATATATCCCATGACAATTTCAGAAAAATAATGTGATGTTTTTCTGTTTAAATGCACTGTCAAGCTAAAGTGTGTCCTGTCTGTGTCTTGTAGGGTCAAAATGTATTTGGTCTTGACATAACTGAGACACCTGAGGGAGATAAGTGGCCTCAACTGATTGTCCAGCAGATCCTGGATAGGGAGCAGAAGGACACCTATGTGATGAAAATCAAGGTTGAAGATGGTGGGAGCCCCCCAAGGTCCAGCACTGCCATCCTGCAGGTGACAGTGACCGACGTCAACGACAACCGCCCGGTGTTCAAAGAGAACGACATCGAGGTCAGCGTGCCAGAAAACGCCCCCGTGGGCACCTCCGTGTCCCAGCTGCACGCCACCGACGCTGACCTGGGCTCAAATGCACAAATCCACTTCTACTTCAGCAACCAGATCTCCAGTCTGGCCAAAAGGCTCTTTGCCATCGATAACACCACTGGGCTCATCACCATCAGGGAGCCGCTGGACAGGGAGGAATCTCCTGTGCACAAGCTGACGGTGTTGGCAAGCGATGGCACCTCCACTCCCTCGAGAGCCACGGTCACTGTCAACGTCACAGATATCAATGACAACGTCCCATCGATAGACACGAGGTACATCATCAACCCTGTGAATGGGACAGTGCTTTTGTCTGAGAAGGCTCCCCTCAATACAAAAATTGCTTTGATAACGGTGATGGACAAGGATGCTGATCAGAACGGGAAAGTTACCTGTTTTACAGATCACGATGTCCCCTTCAGGCTAAAACCAGTGTTTGATAATCAGTTTCTCCTGGAGACAGCCACGTTTCTAGACTATGAAGCTACACGGGAATATGCCATCAAAATAGTGGCTTCAGATTCTGGGAAGCCTCCCTTAAACCAGTCTGCAATGCTCCTGATCAAAATTAAAGATGAAAACGACAACGCCCCGGTTTTCACGCAGCCAATCATCGGCCTTTCCATCCCTGAGAACAACGCTCCTGGCACTCAGCTAACCAAGATCAGCGCCACAGATGCTGACAGCGGGCGGAATGCCGAGATCAGCTACATCCTGGGCTCTGATGCACCCCCAATTTTCAACCTGGACCGCCGCACAGGCATCCTGACAGCAGTGAGAAAGCTGGACAGAGAAAAGCAAGACAGGTACTCTTTCACTGTGCTGGCTAAGGATAACGGGATGCCACCTTTGCAGACCAATGCTACCGTGACGGTGTCAGTGCTGGACCAGAATGATAACAGCCCTGCTTTCACACATAGTGAATATAATTTCTATGTGCCAGAAAACCTGCCCATGTATGGCACAGTGGGGCTTATCACAGTCACGGACGCTGACGCGGGAGACAACGCTGCGGTCACCCTCTCTATCTTAAATGGTAGAGATAATTTCATTATAGATCCACTTACTGGTGTAATAAGACCTAATATTACCTTTGATAGGGAGCAGCAGGGGTCATACACTTTCCAGGTGAAAGCAGTGGACGGAGGAAGACTGCAGCGTTCCTCAACTGCCAAAGTGACCATCAATGTTGTTGATGTAAATGATAACAGGCCCGTTTTTGTTATTCCCTCATCTAATTATTCCTATGAGCTGGTCCCAACGTCAGCCAGCCCTGGGTCTGTAGTCACTAAAGTCTTTGCAGTCGATAACGACACGGGAATGAACGCAGAGCTCCGCTATAGCATCATAGGTGGGAACTCCAGGGGCTTGTTTACCATTGACCAATTAACAGGCAATATTACTTTGAAAGAGAAGGTAATTGGATCAGATCATGGCTTGCACAGACTGGTGATCAAGGTGAATGACCTGGGACAGCCGGAGTCTCTTTACACCATAGCTCTTGTGCACTTGTTTGTGAACGAGACCGTCACCAACAGCTCCTACGTGCAAGAGCTGGTGCGTAGGAATATGGAAACTCCAGTGGGCCAGAACATTGGGGATGGTGAGATAACCCCACAGACCAATGATTATGTCAAGATCATCATTGCCATTATTGCAGGCACCATGACAGTTATTCTGGTAATTTTTGTTACCGCTTTAGTCCGGTGTCGCCAGACTCCCAGGCACAAGGTTGTCCAGAAGAATAAGCAGAGTGGGGAATGGGTTTCCCCCAACCAAGAGAATAGGCAGATCAAGAAAAAGAAGAAGAAGAAGAAGCGCTCTCCAAAGAGTCTCCTCCTCAACTTTGTGACTATTGAAGAGTCTAAGCCTGATGATCCTGGCCACGAGCACATAAATGGCACTTTAGACATTCCCGTAGAGCTAGAAGAACAGACTATGGGAAAATATAACTGGGCCACCACACCAACCACATTTAAACCTGATAGCCCAGACTTAGCAAAGCACTACAAGTCTGCTTCTCCGCAGCCTACCTTTCAAATTAAACCTGAGACTCCTGTACCCCCCAAGAAGCACCATGTCATTCAGGAATTGCCTCTAGATAACACCTTTGTGGTGGGCTGTGACTCACTTTCCAAGTGCTCATCCAGCAGCTCGGACCCTTACAGTGTTTCTGAATGCAGCTGTCAAGGAGGCTTCAAGACCCCAGGCCCCATACACACCAGACAGGTAATGGAATTTTAAGGTTTTAAGATTTTAAGGTGTTTTTTTTTTTTCCTCCTCCCCTCTTTACTTTGCCAATCCCGTAACTCCAGGTCGGAGCGCTGCAAGATAAGTTCTCCTGCAAGGAGCAAAACTTTGCAAGTTCGTATTCGATCGAGGCATTGTAAAACAAACAATTCGAGCTTCCCGAGTGGTAAGGGAGAAAAAGAGGAGGGAAAGGAGCGTTGTCTGTGAGGAGATGGAGCAGGCAGGGATCCCTGTGGTGGTGTCCTGACTGCAGATGGCAGCATGGCACTTCCCACCTCACCGCAGGACCTCGAGCAGCTCGGCAGGCTCAGAGTGGGAATGGCCCCTCCAGCCTGGCCCAAGCAATCCAGGCCAGGTGGAAAGCAAGAAAGCTTCACAGGAGCTCATCAGTGGTTCTTAATATTAATGGAGTCTGGAATTGCAGCCTTCATTTGGGCGTAGATTTGCTTCAAGGTCTCTCAGGAGCAGGCGAGGATTTTCCCCCGAGAGTTTCAGTGCCATTTTCAGACTGGAAGGAGCCTTAAACGTGGTGGATTGGGACAGCTGACAGGAAAAGTTAGGGGAAAAATTAGAAGCATCAGCATAATTGATCTAATTTATTTTCTGCTGTGCCTGATAAACCAGGAAAAAAAGGTGTTATGTGTTAGCTTCTTAGAAATGCAGTGCAACTAAGGAAATGTCTAAAGAATCCTCAGATTAAAATTGAAAACAAATTGAGAATTCAAGTACCCCTTATTCTTCAAAACCCTACAGAAAAGTCACTGGAAATATAATCTAATATTTATCCATATCTTAAACAGTTTAATAAAACTTTTCTGTTTACTTCTCTTTCTTCCCAAGTATCACAAACTTTTCAGTGGGGATAGTTTTCTAGTTAAGCTTTAGTTGGTCAAGTAATTAATCATTGAAGTAACACTTCAGGGGTGTTTAATTTATTATTGATAATACATTTTAACTCTATAATATGTTTAACTTAATACATTCCTTGGGAACAAATCCTCAGCATGATTAAGTCTGCTAAATTTCTTCCTCCAGCTGATTTTTTTTTTTCTGGGAACTTTGTTTCATTACAACTGTAATGATAACAAAATACATAAAAAAGGCTTCTCATTCAGAGCAGTCATCATATCTTTGAAAATTTCAGGATATGTTGTTTATCTTATTCTATTTTGTTCCCTTTACCAACACAAATTTGCATGGCAATCTATATAACTACAGATAACATTTTTTTAAGAAATGTATTTCAGTGTTTTAAGTTAAATCACGTATCAGAAAAGCCTCTTGCCAGTTTGTTCATCTGTTTGAACTCCCATAACTCTGAGGAGAGGGCAGTGCTGTTTTCAGCATTTCTGTAGGCCTGATCTAAGTGATTTTTTTTTTTTTTTTTCAATGGAGCTCTGGTACAGTTCCTGTGAGTCAAAAAGGTTCTGCCATTGTCTGCTGAAACACACTTTGTCGTGCACTAATGCTGCCAACAAAGAAAGCAAGCTCGTGACTCCTCAAAGTCCCTTCTGTGGCAGTAAAAACCTAGAAAGTGGCATGGGAAGCAATTCTCTTCTGCAGAAGTTGGCTGGGGGAAAGAGCATTTCCTTTTATCTGTGCCTTAAAGGTCTGTGACAGTGGGTTCCTATCTGGAAAATCAGAATAGAACTGTGGGGTTTTTTTAATGCTCACGAGCAGATAGCAGCTTATCTTCACAGAGCTGCACCTAACATTGTCAGGATGATATGCTGAATAGATAAGAAAAAGAGATTATTGTTACTGTTTGTACTGATTTTGGTAAAATTGCAGCTATCCTTCTTTTAGGGATAAAAGAAGGATAGCTTCAATTTCTTCTTTATTGTTCTGCATGAAAGTGAACACCTTGTTTGGAGGAAGGGTAACTAATCACCGTAATGGCCCTTTGCACTAATTTGGGAACAGCATTCACCTTTAAACACATGAATTCACATTTTTAAAAAATTTAAATTTATGGAATTTCATTAAGGCATTATTTACATAAGTTGGGCCATTTAGAGGAAGTCTTTTGTGTTGTGTTGGAGTGTCACTAAATGAAAACTGTATTTCTTGGTAAGTAAAAATGAGTAAAGAATTTCTTAAAGCTCAACAAATCTTTTAAAAGTCACTCTCCTTCCTGGCTCTGTATTTGTACTCTGGGTAGTTTTGTCTCCTGTGGGGCTCTGGATGGTGTCTCAGGATGGGCTACTGGAGAGTTGTGTCTGTTAGCCAGCAAAAAAGAGAAATAAATATGAATATAAATAGAAATATCCCTGAGGCACAATGTCTCCAGCTGCTGTCCCACCACCCTTCAGCCTCAGACACCAACAGGATCAGGTGTGGTTCAGGGTGATTTTGTGTCAGGCACTCTCTGAATTTACAGAAAACTGGAGGACAAGCTGGAGAACTGAAAGTCAGTTCAGTTAAAAAGGGAGATGTGCTAGTTTGAAAAGTGAAAATAAGATTCCTGATCTGAGGGGAAAATCTCATCATTTATCACTTTTACCATAGTGCAGGTCTTTTACAAGCCAGAAGTTCTGAAGAAGATTCTGTTCCCTGAAGTGTCTCTTCAGTTTGTAATGGGGACTGATATTATTATAGGCTGCTCATCTCAACTATTGTTACTTTTGTCCATGCAAGACTTTCTACTCAGATATTTGAAATAATATTGTGTTACAGCTAAAAATATATGTTTTCTTTGGAAGCTCTAAATTTTGTGTCTGTCTGAATGGTATTGATTCAGGTCTTTAAAGAAAGGAAATTATGCCTTTGCTTTACTGCTAAATTTGTCTAAGTGATCTATAAAATGACAGAAAGTCATTATAGCAGTTGTACTCAAAAAGCATGCAAGCAAAGATGGAAAGGTTTTTCTACTAAAAAAAACCCCAAAATATCTCTTTAGTGGTCATGTGGGCAAATAAATACAGCAGTGCCACAGCTGAAATTTTTATGGGGAAGCAATTGGAGACTCCTGAAGCTGCTGAGGACACTTTGAACCATAAACTACAGGAAACTGAAGAGGGAGAGTATGGTCTTAATGCAAGAAGTCAAATTTTGCTCGATTTGTATGTGAGAAAGGGCAAGGGGCAGAGGTTCTGACAATAGACCTTCAGAGCAGCATGCTTTTTTGGGGGGATGTAGTCGAGGTAATTATTTTAAAGGAGTTTTACCAAGTGATAAATTATGAAGGAGCTTATTCATAATAATGTTTTCCAAACTAGGATATCTGGAGTGTTATAAAAATCAAACTGACTTTCCATGTCATCAGATTTCCATTGTTTTGGCAGTTGTGGGCCTCACAGAAATTTTCTTTGGTGCAGAAACATATGGCATCTTTAAAGTTTATTTGTCTGCAAGCTCTGTAAAAGCTCAGTTATTTTTGACATTCACCTCAGTGGGAGCAAACTGTGTGAAGTGTTCCACACTGACAAAAAAAATCTTAATTCTCTTTGCATTTGCATGGGAATGATGAGAAGAAGGGAGAGGAGTTTTCTTCAGTCTCATTTTCATGTAACACAATTTCAAAATCTGAAATCTTAGCTCATGCACTTTAGAACAACATTCAGACATTTCAAATGCCTGTCTAGGTATCAGCCTGTCTAGTCAAAACATGCACAATTATAGAGCACAGTTTTCTCTGTGGCAGCTTGATTCAAAGAAGGTAAAGCTGCAAAGATTCATCAGAACTTGCTGTGCATTTTCCTTCTTCTTGTGCCTTTTTTTTTTTTTTTTTTTTTTTTTTTTTTTTTTTTTTTTACTGAATGCTATTTTAGATGTGCCTTTTGTTTGAAAACAATAGAATGCCTACTATAGGGATAGAGTAAATCTTGGCAAATTTACACCTGGTCACTCAGGAAGGGTCCTGTGATCTTTTTGCTTTGTCATCTTTAACTTCAGAACAAGATTTTTCTGATTTGGTGCTGCTGAGGAGCTTTATTGCCCATTGAAGGAGGGGCTGGAAGGTGCAATGTGCTCTGCATCTGTGATTTTCTGCTTTTTTTGGGGGGGGTTCTCCCTGCATCCCCCTGGTCTGTGGTCTGTCAGTGGATTCAGCTGCACTGCCTGGCCACTGGAGCATGTTGGGGAAGCTGCTGAGGGAGGGAGGTGTGGAGATGGATTTTTGTCATGCTTGCTGATGCAAATCTTCATTAGTGGAGTTCAGCTGCCAGGATTCTCTCATCTGTGAACTTACCACACTTAAGAATAGAAATTTCAGCTGGCACAGTGATCTCTGCTGGGCTGTTAGGGGCTGATGGACATAGACATTACACTCCTCACAGAAATCTGAATGGGAAGGAGCCCTCATCTCAAATATATTGCATTTTGGGGCCCCACTGCCTCAATTCTGTGATTCTGTCACTGCCTGCTTAGACCTGCTTACAGTTCTGGGATATTTGAGCTTCTGATTTAAAATGTGGTGAAATGTCATTACAGCTTCCCACTCACTAGGAGAACAGTGTGCTCAGGATGTGAATGGAAGGAATTTTCAGTGTTCCTGAAAAGAATAGCTCTGAAACTCACCTGTTCTGTGAATCTTTAGCTGCAGGATTTTTTTTTGTTTTGTGTAATAGCAGTGAGTTTAATTTAGAATCCTGTAATCATCAGCAGGCAGGGCTGATGCTCTGAGGTGTAAATAGACACAGCACTGGTGTTTTGTATTGACAGATATGGAGTAAATTACACTCAAAGAGCATTGTCTCCTAAATTTTAGGTAAATAACTGTTGATATAAGTCCTTCCTAAAAGCTGTTTCAAAACTGATTACTCTGATTCTAAGTATTCTCATTATTTTACCTTAATTTTCTGACTGGTAATTTTGCTTGTGGTTCTGATCTGCTGCCATGTACATACATGTCACAAAAAAAAAAACAAAAAAAAAAACCAAAAACCAAAAAACAAAACAAAACAAAACAAACAAAAAAAACCCCCAAAAAACAAAAAAAAAAAACAAAAATTTTTTTTGGAGGTTTCTAACTGAAA